TTTATTTATTAACAATTTTTCTTTTATTATTCATCCACTACTCACTTTATGTTGTCCCATTATGCTTGAGTTCATTATCATAGTATATAAGCTTTTTCTGTTGTAGTTTGTTGGCTTTTAGTATATAAGCTTAAAAGTGTTTACAAGGTTTACAGCAAAATTGTGGAATTAAAAAAAAATGGCAAAAAGAATTAATTTCGTATTTAAGGGCATATTTGTAATGGCAAAAACAAAAGACTTAAGACACAAACCTTTAAAAAATATATGACTTATGATCTGTTTATGCTAAGCTCTATTGGAAAGGAAACGACTGAGCTTAGAGCAACAACTTGGATTTAAAGGGACGGTTTTCAATGACTATAACAAATTAAAATTAAATTAAAAAATAATATTCATAAAAATAATATTAAAAATAGAACAGTGTTTGGCTTGCTTGTTTGGGATACCATAGTATTTTGTTGTTGCAAAATCGTCAGGCAAAATCCCATTATTGTTGTTTTTATAAAAACAACGTTTGTTTATGAGTGGAGAACGATGGTAATGTTTACCAGGGGGTAAGGCAGGGAATACCTAGGTTTCGGAAAGAGCCCCCAATCCTCATCAGTTCCCTTGTTTCTTGTCTGGGATATTCTCCCCAGGAGTTATTTTAAAAAATAACTTCTATGACAAAAAACATTTTTTACCCAAGTGACGAGACAAGAAACAAGGGAACTGATGAGGATTGGTGGCTCTTTCCGAAACCTAGGTATTCCCTGCCTTACCCCCTGGTAAACATTACCATCGTTCTCCACTCATAAACAACGTTGTTTTTATAAAACAACAATAATGGGATTTTGCCTGACGATTTTGCAACAACAATATTAAAGATATATAAAATAAAAAGACAAAAAATAATAAATATCACAAATTATATTAATATTGATAATAATAATAATAATAATAATAATAATAATAATAATAATAATAATAATAATAATAATAATAATAATAATAATAATAATAATAATAATAATAATATATAATAATAATAATAATAATAATAATTAATATAATAATAATAATAATAATAAATAATAATAATAATAATAATAATAATAATAATAATAATAATAATAATAATAATAATAATAATAATAATAATAATAATAATAATAATAATAATAATAATAATAATAATAATAATAATAATAATAATATAATAATAATAATAATAATAATAATAATAATAATAATAATAATAATAATAATAATAATAATAATAGAATAATAATAATAATAATAATATAATAATAATAATAATAATAATATAATAATATAATAATAATAATAATAATAATAATAATAATAATAATAATATAATAATAATAATAATAATAATAATAATAATAATAATAATAATAATAATAATAATAATAATAATATAATAATAATAATAATAATAATAATAATAATAATAATAATAATAATAATAATAATAATAATAAGATAATAATAATAATATAATAATAATAATAATAATAATAATAATAATAATAATAATAATAATAATAATAATAATAATAATAATAATAATAATAATAATAATAATAATAATAATAATAAAATAAATAATTATGATGAATATAAAAAATATATATTAATATCAATAGTGACAAAAATGTATTTTGCAAAAAAAAAAAATAATTAAAAGACTTAAGACACAAGAACTTGTGTGACATATCTTTAGATAAAACGAAAGACTTAAGACACAAGTGTATTTTGTACTACTGTTAAGTAAAACAAATATTTAATGAAATCGATAGGAGCGAATTTGAGCAAGTTTAATGCAACTCCTCGAAACAAAAAGAAGTGTTTGAAGTATTTTCTAAGAGAAAAGTGGACTGTCTTGTAACCCATTCGAGTTTCCTCGCACTGAGTCTTGTAAAACAGTCTTCAAGATCAAAAGTATACATTTGTGTCATATCAATATATAGAAGCATCTAAGGCACATATTTTCATATTTTGTTCCCTATGATATAACGAAAGACTTAAGACACAAACCCGGCTCACTGAGTTGTGTTTTACGTCAAGACTATAATATTGAGTACATATTATCACATTTAAATATTGTTTTAGATTCTGGCATATATCAAAAGACTTAAGACACAAACGTTCGTATGGAGATTCGGAGTTGTGTCTTAAGTCTTTCGTTATCTCTTCATACAAACGTATGTGACTAAGCAAAGCTGGAAGCGAGTCTTTCGTAAAACGGCGCCACCCCTCCTTTTTATACCCTCAGCCATATGCCCACAGAGGGTATATATCATTTGATATCGCCGAAACTTATCCCATCGGTTTGCCCCTTAGGACTTTTTGGACCAAATTCAAGACATTTGGGGTCGATCTTGGAGTGTCCGCCCGTCTGTCTAGTTGGTACACACAATAATTCTCGAATGGGGTATCTGATTTGCTCCAAACTTGGCACATCGTTATATTATTATCAAACTTAGATCGAATTCAAAATTTTTACAGTAAATAATTGACTTTATAGACCAAGAAAGGATCATCCAATTTTGTGCAAACTTTACAAATCATACAATTTGTATCAGTGCTAGATCCGGTGCGAAAATGGATATTATCGATCCACTCCAACAAGTGCCTCACCCACAAAAGGTCAACATTTGAAATAAGTATAACTCTTATAAAAGGTTTAATAAGACTCCGATTCTTTTAAAATGTCACACATCCCAATATTTCTACCAGTACAAGATTTGGTATGAAGAACGGATAAAACGGCCCATTGCTTTTTTTACCTCAATCACATCGGGTCAAAATTTCAAATAGCCATAATGCTCATAAATCACGAAATGACCATCCGATTTCTTTTAAACTCATCTCAGTGCAATCTACGCAAGATGTGGTGCGCAGATGGGATGTATTGGAGCACTAATTCTGGTAGCTCCCCCACAACGGGTTAAAATTTGAAATAAACAGAAATCTCATTAAATGAGAAAAAAACATCCGATTCTCTTTAAATTTCACACATCCCAATATTTTTCCAAAAGAAAATGTGGTGTGAAAGTGATAGATATTGGTTCACCTCTTCTAGCACCTCCCCACAAAAGGTAACACTTTTTAATGATTGGATTTCTCATGACTTGCGTAACAAGTCAGGGATTCTTTTCGAACTTGACTTTTACAATTCTTCCTTAACCTGAAATCTGTTGTGAATATAGAATTCATCGACCCTTCGGAGGTACAAGCATCTCTACAAATGATTAAAATTTTGATTAACGAATGGTCGCTTCTCTTCAAAATTTGCACATCCCAATATGTTTTTCAGTATTAAAGTGAATTACTTCGGTCCACTAATCTGGTACCTCACGCATATTTCAACAATATCCAAAAATTGTCACATATCTCATATAGAGGTTCCTTCTGTCAAATTGTACTATTCGTATAAGACTTAGGTCAGAAAAGATATGGACAATACATATTGCCCCCTCCTTCGTAACCCCCCTCATAAAGATTTAATAGTTTGACGCAATTCAAAATATATATTTAAATAAAAGAAAATTCGCTGCCGACAAAACCGACTGATACTTTTTAGTTTATTTCTGAATAAAAATTTCAAAAATCAATTTTCAAAAATTTGCCTGATAATATTTAAAATGAATATATTGATAAATGTTTTATACAGCCTAAAAGTATGCAATTAGTTTGGGGAACTACATCTTACACATGCTGCTGTTGAAACGACTACGTGGGGAAACATATTTTAAAATGTTTTTTTAAATGTAAATAAATTTAGGAGACATACGTTGCTATAAAGAGAAAACGAAAGACTTAAGACACAAACACGCAACATATAACGACATACATATTTTTAAATTCTAATGAAAATCAAATGATTTACGACATAGCCGTCCGTTTCTGTGTTTCCTTAACACCAGACTTAAGACGCAAATCTCGATCACTGAGTTTGATTTACATTTTCGCTTTGATTTTGATAAAAAGTACTTTTTTACACATTAAGACTTACCACTTATTTCCAATTTTCTTTTACAAATCGAATATCTGGCAACGAATTTTGTATTAATATAAATGCCAATTATTCCTCCTAGAAGTATACTTTACGATATATACATTAATAGTACATATTCATCCTTAAGCTTTAAGTCCTAAACATGAAAATAAATTCCAGCTAAAATATTTGTTTTAAAAAAATTAGCTAAATTCAATTTTTTTCTTCAATATCCAACAACGATTTTCAAATGGATAATATTTTTTCAAATTAAAAATTCAAACCAAGAATTTAAAAATACTTTTATCAAATGATAATTTTATAAATTATGGATTTCTTGCAACAAGGTCCAAGAGTATTTTTTTTAGCCTAAAAGTAGGCTTTACGTATTTGAGATCAAGGATTTGTTTTCTTTTTCAAAAAATTAGCTTCAGTTGACTCGTAGAACTGTTAAAAGGCCAAAATTTCGGAATTAAAATATTGTTTCGTTGACAATTTTTTTATATTTTAAGATGTGTTTTGAACAAATTTTACGCCCTAAAGGCCTTATATTTCAATCTCCTGTGGTTGATATACAAAAAATAACCTTAAAATATAAGAAATCATTATAGTTATAGAAAATATGCCAAAATTTTCTAAAATGCCACAAAAAACATGTAAATAACTTGCCCACAATTTTGCTGGAAACCGTAAGTAAACGCAATGGAAATGAAATCAAGTGGTTTTAGAAATTCGATTTTATTCAAAATATCAAAAACTATGAAAAATAGAAATAAAAATTAATAAATTTATCCAAAAATAAAAAAACAATAAATCACTTTATTTCGATTTCTATGGTCTGTCCGTCGGTCCGTTTATTAAATAAAAATCCACTGCCGCATGTTTTATAAATTTCTATTCTTAAAATTTACAAAATTTTGAAAATCGTATTAACATTATTTTTCTTTGTTTCTCCAAATTTCCGAAATTTTCCCCAACAATTAAACAAAAACAACAGTACCACCAAGATGGATTTTGGAACCCACCGACAAAGCTTTTGCCCAAGGCTCAGATGCTAAAGTTGAATGCAAGGCTGATGGCTTCCCCAAACCACAATTGACCTGGAAGAAAGCTGTGGGTAAGTACAATACACAAAATTATTTAATTTACTTTTGATATTTTAATATTTCTCTCTCACACTCTCTATCAGGCAACAGTCCCGGTGAATACAAGGATTTGAAGAAGAACGACAACATTCGCGTTGAAGAAGGCACCCTCCACATTGACAACATCCAAAAGACCAACGAAGGTTATTATTTGTGTGAGGCCATTAATGGCATCGGTTCAGGTTTGTCAGCCGTCATTATGATCAGTGTCCAGGCTCCACCAGAATTCACCGAAAAATTGCGTAACCAAACCGCCCGCCGTGGAGAACCTGCCGTCCTGCAATGTGAAGCTAAGGGTGAGAAACCCATTGGCATTTTATGGAACATGAACAACATGCGTTTGGACCCCAAGAACGATAACCGTTATACCATTCGTGAAGAGATTTTGTCCACCGGTGTTATGTCTTCGCTCTCCATCAAACGTACTGAACGCTCCGACTCGGCCTTGTTTACCTGTGTTGCCACCAATGCCTTCGGCTCAGATGATGCTAGCATTAACATGATTATTCAAGAGGTTCCCGAAATGCCATATGCCCTCAAGGTTTTGGACAAATCTGGACGTTCGGTACAATTGAGCTGGGCCCAACCCTACGATGGCAATTCCCCCATCACCCGTTACATCATTGAATTCAAACGCTCTCGTGCCTCTTGGGATGAAATTGATCGCGTTATGGTGCCCGGAGATACCACTGAAGCCCAGGTGCAAAAATTGAACCCAGCCACAACCTACAACATTCGTATTGTTGCCGAAAATGCCATTGGAACCTCGCAGACATCCGAAGCTGTTACCATTATCACCGCCGAAGAAGCTCCCTCTGGAAAACCACAAAACATCAAAGTCGAACCTGTCAACCAGACCACATTGCGTGTCACCTGGAAACCACCCACCCGCTCGGAATGGAATGGCGAAATTTTGGGCTACTATGTCGGATACAAGCTCTCCAACACCAACTCCTCGTATGTCTTTGAAACTGTGAACTTTTTGACTGAAGAAGGCAAGGAACATAACTTGGAACTGAATAATTTGCGTGTCTACACCCAATACTCGGTGGTCATACAGGCCTTCAATAAGATTGGTGCCGGTCCATTGAGCGATGAAGAGAAACAATTCACTGCCGAAGGTACCCCCAGCCAGCCACCAAGTGATACATCCTGCACCACCTTGACTTCGCAGACAATTCGTGTTAGCTGGGTCAGTCCCCCACTGGAATCGGCCAATGGTGTGATCAAGACTTACAAGGTTGTCTATGCTCCCAGTGAAGAGTGGTATGGTAAGTATGGGAGGCCATAAAGAAGGGGAAAGGGAAATTTGTAGAGAAACTAATTTATCCAAATTTTAGATGAAACCAAACGCCATTACAAGAAGACTGCCTCCTCGGACACCGTTTTACATGGCCTGAAGAAATACACCAACTACACCATGCAAGTTTTGGCCACCACTGCCGGAGGTGATGGTGTTCGCAGCGCTCCAATTCACTGCCAAACCGAACCTGATGGTAAGCCTTTGGGAGTTTAATTTTCAAAAACAAAAAATCTAATTTATTTTATTTTCCTCCCACAGTTCCTGAAGCCCCCACCGATGTCAAGGCCCTGGTCATGGGTCAAGCTGCCATTTTGGTCTCATGGCGCCCACCAGCACAACCCAACGGCATTATCCAACAATACACCGTCTACACCAAAGTTGAAGGAGCCGAAGGTGAACCCAAGAGCCAAAAGATTCCCCACTACCAAATGAGCTACGAAGCCACTGAATTGGAAAAGAACAGCCCCTACGAATTCTGGGTCACTGCCAGCACCAACATTGGCGAAGGTCAACCCTCAAAGAGCATAGTTGCCATGCCCAGCGATCAAGTTCCTGCCAAGATTGCCTCATTCGATGATACTTTCACTGCCACCTTTAAGGAAGACGCCAAAATGCCTTGCTTGGCCGTGGGATCACCTCAACCTGATATTACCTGGAAGATTAAGGGTGTTGAATTCACCGGCAATGATCGTATGCGTGTCCTGCCCGATGGATCTCTACTGATTAAATCTGTCAATCGTCAAGATGCTGGTGACTATACCTGCCATGCTGAGAACTCCATTGCCAAGGATTCGATTACCCATAAATTGATTGTTTTGGCCCCACCCATGTCGCCTCAAGTAACGCTGTCTGCCACCACCACTGATTCGTTGACTGTTAAGGTTAAGCCCCATGAAGGTGATACTGCTCCTCTGCATGGTTACACTTTGCACTACAAGCCAGGTAAGTGGGCAGTTCTGAAGCGGGAGGTTAGTGTGAGAGGACTGTGTTTGATTTTTTTTGTTTTTTTTTAGAATTCGGAGAATGGGAAACCGCTGAAGTTGCCGTTGATGCCCAGAAATTCACAATTGACAATTTGCTGTGTGGTTCACGTTATCAGGTTTATGCTACAGGATTCAATAAGTAAGATCCTTGGGATTTCGAAAGCACCACCTCTTTCCAACATCTTTGATGTTTTGTTGTTTAAAAATTAAATCTGAAATTGAATCGAAAATAATTTTTCAAAAATTTTAATTTTTTTATTAGCATTGGCGCCGGCGAAGCTTCTGACATCTTGAACACCCGCACCAAGGGCTACAAACCCAAGTTGCCAGAGAAATCCCGTTTCATTGAAGTCTCCTCGAACTCGGTCTCATTGCACTTCAAGGCCTGGAAGGATGGCGGTTGCCCCATGTCTCACTTTGTGGTGGAAAACAAGAAACGGTATGTATTTCTATATCCTGGGTACAGTGGCAAGAAGGGAATATTAAATGTGTCATTACGTCCTTGTCGGATACCCTATAACGTCCCTATAACATTGTATTAATAAGAGAGTAAATTTATTGACTGATTGACTAACTGACGTAACGATTCATCAATGCCCAGGCGAAACGGCTGAAAGTAGAATTTTGAAATTTTGGATGAGGGTCGCTCATGGTCCGAAGGGGCCAGATAAGGATAGATTTTTAGAAATACGCGCCAGAACGGTACGAAAAGTTTTAAAAGGAAAGGAACCCCTGACGTACGTATTTGACGTACCAGAAGATGAAGGACTGTTAAATTTGGAATGAGGGTCACTGGTGAGTGAACTGAGTGTATGATGAATCTGTCAAAGGGTTCTTGGAAATTCGCACCATAATTGTACCAAAAGTAATAAAATGTACTATATTTGGTACAATTTCGTATCATATGAAAGATTAGAGCTGAAAACATGAAATTAGGAACGGGAATCAAGGTCGAGGAGTAGTTTTTGAAAATTGTACTTATGTGCACGAAAGTACTAAATCGTACTAAATTTGGTACAATTTCGATTTGGGTGAACCGATAGAGCTGGAATTCTAAAATTTGGAAATAAGATTATTAAGATGTGTAGAACATTTTGGAAATTCGTACTTATGTGTACTAAATGGTACTAAACTTGGTGCAATTTAAATGTTGAGAGAACGGAAATTCGTACTTATGTGTACTAATTTGGTTTTGATTGAGCGGATTTATTTGGTAATTTGAAATGATGGTATTGGGGTCTCTGCTGGTGCATATGGTTAAAATAATGGGTTGGAGTTGGAAATTTGTTCTGCAAGCATACGAAATGTGCTTTTTGGCACTGGTTGGTATTGCTTGAAATCTGTGTAGGGTTAAGATTTGGAGCTGGTTTTGGAAATATGTACTAAAAAGTACTAAATGGTACTAAATTCGATATATGGGTGAGGGAAGTATTTGGTATTTGGGGAAAGAAAAGAGCTGAAAATCTGAAATTTGGTGTGAGAGTCATTGATGTTGTGTAGGATAGGTAATCTAAAGGGTTTTTTTCGAACTTCTAACCATTTTGCGTACCAAAAATACTAAAATGTACTAAATTTGGTACCTCTGAGAATTGTGAGAACGGATAGTGATAAAATCTGGAAATTTGATCTGAAATTTAATTCTTGGAAATGGGGGGATGTAAGGAGGTGATTTTGAAAACATGTACTAAAAGTACGCGAAGTGTACTAAATTTGTTACAATTCCGGTTTGAGTGAACGGATAATGCTGAAAATATGAAATTTAGTATTTTGATCCTTTTTGGTAAATGGTTTGTTATAAAGAAGTGTTGTTGAAAATTGGTCCTGAACATTCCCTGGTATAATTATAGCCTGGACATATGAAAATGGTTTAGGAAATGTTTACTTTAATTGTACGAAAAGTACTAAGTGGTACTATACTTGGTATTAAGTAAAGGTATAGAGATACAATTCGGAAATTTGATATTCAGATTACTACTACTACTACTCATGGTATCTGTATTTGAGATTTGGACGTATATTTGTACGTAAAGTACGAAATGGTACTAAATTTGGTATTAGGTGAAGAGATAAGGCTGGATTCCTCAAATTTCATATTGAGGACTCTGTTGGTATCATGCATTGAGGTATGGTGGTTGTTTTTTTGAAATGTGTACTATAATTGTACGTAAGGTACTAAATAATACTAAATTGGACGTGTTTGTGGAAATGTGTACTTTAATTGTACGAAAAGTAGTTAGTGGTACTAAATTTGGTATTGGATGAAGGGATAGTGCTAAAATCCTCAAATTTGGTATTGAAGCCTCTTTTGGTATCTGTTGTTGAGATATGGGGGTTAGTTTTGGAAAGGTATACTATAAATATAGGAAAAGTACTAAATAGTACTAACTTGGTGTTGGGTGAAAAAATAGAGCTAAAATCCTGAAATTTGATATAGATGTCACGATTGGTGACTGTGGTGGAGATATAGAGGTGGTAAGGGAAATTGGTACTATAATTCTACGAAAAGTACTAAATAATTCCAAATTTGGTATTGAGTGAAGCGCTACGGCTAGAGTCCCGAAATTTGTTTTTGAGGTCTTTGTTGGTATCTGGTATTGAGAAATGTGTCCTGTAATTGTACGAAAACTACTAAACGGTACTAAATTTGGTAATGGACGAAATCAAAGAACTGAAATTCTGTATTAATTTTTTATTATTAAAAAAATTTGTCGAACTCAACAATTTTGAGTACTAAAAAGACACGGACTGTTGGAACGAATCTAAAATGTTGAGTTGGACTTTTCGCTGACGAAGTAGCGGACACTTCTTAGTTTAATATATACTATTTAATTCTGAACAACCTCTGAACCACAAGAAGTTAAAGCTTTAACTGTGTTTTCTTTATATCTCTCAACTAATTACTCCTTTTTCTGTTTTAAAACTTTTTATTTTTCAAATTATAGCGACCAAATCGAATGGAATCAAATTTCGAATAATGTTAAGCCCGACAATAACTACGTTGTTTTGGATTTGGAACCTGCCACCTGGTATAACTTACGTATCACTGCCCACAACTCTGCCGGCTTCACTGTGGCTGAATATGATTTTGCAACATTGACCGTAACTGGAGGTATTTATATTCTGTTTTCCAATTTGTATTTGAATTTTATGGACCCTAATGGGTCCTTTTAAAAAGAGATGGGAGAAATATTTTTAGTTTTCTGCGATAGAAGGAAAACTAAAATGGCTTCCCTCCCTTTCCCCTGATTTTGTAAAGACATTGCTTTTGTACATAATGTTGATACTACGTGATGTTTTAAGGTTTATGGCAAGGAATAAAAAAAAATTGACTTGAAATTGGAACATATAAAATTAAATTATTTTAAATAATGAAATTTGCCCATAAACCTTAAAATAGAAAAATATACAAATAACAAAAAAACATTTCTTTCCACCCAGAAAGTAAAGCTACACCTGCTTCAATGTAAAGAAATACCAAAAAAAAAACTATGATTTTCTTTAAATTTTCTTTTCCATTATGCTTCTTTATCTGAAACAAAAAATGTCTTAATTTCGTCTTGTGTAAAAATGTTTTTTTTTATTTAATTTTTTTATAGCACTGTATAAAATTATCATTTTCAAAAGGCTTGTTGAAATTTCCGTTGATTTTTTTTTGTAATTTCTTTAAAGAATATCTTTTTGAACCCTAGTATAATCTAAGTTTTTGTAAACAAGTTGAGCAACAAAAAAAAAGTTCTATAACCCAAAAAATTAAAAATTATTGCATAAATGCAATTTGTTTTTCCCACTGTTGATGAATAACCAAAAGAGAAAAAATTAAGTAGTTTTTAGTGAACATCTGCTGCTTACTACTAGTGATGAGCACCATTACATTTTTCTTTGAATTTTTTGTTTAGCTGAAACCAAATGAACAAAAAACAAAAATCACCTACACTGAATGATTTGAATCGTGTAGTTGTAGTTGACTAATTTTATTCTTTTCGTTATTTTTTTTAGTTAATTTTTTATTAAATCATTCTTATAGTTTACAAATTAGTAAAAGTGTTGCAATGAACTGAAGTACTCGTTTTATGTCCCCTTAAAATGAATATATCTCCCCCCTCGCCATCCTTTGCAAAGATATGCGCCAATCTGTGTGTGTATGCAAAATAATGTGTGTCTGTATTTGTGTAATCTTAAATATGATGGCATGCTGTAAATCATAATACACAATTTATTGTTATTTATGTAAAAAAATATATTTAGAGAGGTCAAATATTAGAGCAGGTCCAACAAACAAAAAGTACTGTGTTGACCATTTTGCAACAACAAAAAAAGTACGATAAAATAGAAAAAGAAAGTTATATTTAGAGGATGTTGGTGTCTTAGAATGTATAAATATGTTCTTTTCAGTTCGTGAGATTAAGAATTTTCCATTTCCAATTTTCCATTATAATCTACTTAAATAGAATATTCGAAAAAATGTTTCCCATTATACGAAATATTATTTTTTTTAGTTTATAAACTGGATCATTTAATAAATAGAAATAAGCATGTTGTTGTTTAGAAAGAAATGTATATTTATAAATCATGAGCTTGTTCTAAGTCTACCTCTTTGCTAGAAATAAGTAGCCGAGGTCCATAATCAATTACGGCATAGCGAAGCCTTTTTGTGCCTCTAAGCTGCATAGACGAAACATATCGGCACTCGAAAAATGAGAAAAATTATGTTTAGGACATATTGTTGTGTTGCCAGGGCCTTTTCGGTTAATTTCGGCTAACATTTGCCTTTGCGTCCCAGACAACTTGTCTGTTGTGAATTTAGCTCACTTCCTCTAACATCTTGTCTACATGTCCTCTCTTTAGGTACTCAAAGACAGTATAGTCGCTCATTTAACTGAAGGATGGGTAGAGATTTATCTATTATTATTTTATTTAAACTGCTTCCCGTTATAGCTGAAAGTGAACTGTTGGCCTGTCGCAATACGTTCGACCTAAGTTCTTGCTTGAATTCGAGCATGAATTCTTCTGTGAGCAAAAAAAAAAAAAAATTGAGCATACTCTATTTTTCTATGCAACTCTTATACAATCGAATAGGCCTTGCTCGACTTCGAGTGACATTAAAATTTGGTCCATATCAAGGAGATTGCACTCTTTCCGAGTGCTTCTTTAGTTTTTGTCACACTCTTTGATGTAATTCTTTTACGAACACGACTGTCTCGCGAACTCCACCACGTAAGATAAAAGAGTGGAGAATAAACTTCGCAAAAGTCGTACTCTTGCAACACTCTAGCTCAAAAGTATGTTTCCATCGTGAGAAAATCTGTGTTCTGCCTTTAATTATATCCCTCTCTGCACCATTCAAAATATGAGGATGCACCCGGAAATTGTTTGGCAGAAAAGATCATCCGCCTATTAAATCCAGGGTCACCTTTTTCGAGCAAAAAACTAGGTTTCTTTTAAGAACAAGTAAAGTGTACGTTAGATTTCCTCTTTGAGAGTAGCTTCTCCGGGGCCCAAGTATCCACAAAATTTATTTCATTCAGAGAAAATGAAGAATTTTTCTGCTTGATTTAACTTTATTTTTAGGGAATTCAGAAAAGAGACTAACTAATTCACCTAATTATATTTACACTAAAAAATCTCTTTGTAATACTCATCCGACTCGTATCGGGGGGAGCCCCAAAATTGGGGTTGATATAACAGAGACCTGGCCAAGTACTTTGATCTTCACAGGGAAATGGGTAAGATCGGAACTGGACAAACATGGATTCTACCGCACGCCTCTACAAGGATATGCAAGGATGCTTAAATGAGTTCTCAAACAAGGCTCTACAGGAATATGCAAGCATTGTACTGCAAGACACCTAAATAATACTAATGTAAGAAATCTAAAAGGATATGCAAGGGTAATTGCAGATTAACTTATGCAAGGATACTAAATAATTCTATATGGATATATAAGGATTTTTAAGAGACCCTAAACAGTACCTAAGTAAAGCACGACAAGCATTCTGCTATGATACACCTTAATAAGCATTTAAGCAAGTCGTTATAACGATATGCAAGGATAATGCAGTAAGTGCTTAAGCAATGCTCCACAAGGATACTACTCCAAAAGGTCTTAAAAAGAACTCAAGCAAGTTGCTACAAGGAAACTATAAGCAGAATTCGAGCAAGGATTTTACAGGATATACAAGGATTCTGTTGTGATGTACCTTAATAAATACTGAAGAACGGCGATACATAGGTATACTACTGGGAGAGACCTAATAAGAACTCGAGCAAGGATCTAAAAGGATATGCATGGATATTGCTGCGAGACCTTAATAAATACCTAACCAAGACTCCACAAGGAAACGCTAGATTACTACTACAAGAGATATTTATAAAAAATTAAGCAAGCTGCTAGAAGGATATGCAAGCACATTTCGGGAAGATACTTTAGCAAGTACTCAAGCAATCGGCAAACAGAATTTACAACCACACGGATCCTTGATAAGTACTCAAGCAAGACTCTACAAGACTATGGAGGAAAACAATGGCTGGAGAGCTTAATAAGCACAAAGGCAATGTTCTAAAGGGATATGCATAGATACTACGACAGGAGATTCCAATACGGACTTAACAAATGGGATCGGGATCAGGGAGTCAGATTCCTGGATAAGTATTCTTAGATGCGAATTCTATGGAGATCTCGGGATAAGAACTCTAAGCCAGAATTGATGGGACTTTGTTTAGGCCATTTAATTTTCACCGTCAAAAAGTAGAAGCTATCTTGTTTCGACGCTATGAACAGAGTTTCCCAAGTCACAAAAAAAAAAAAAACATTCTTTAAATCAGATCAAAAACGTCTTCAAATCCCCAAGCCAATGGCTATGCTTCTAATCTCAAACCATAGGAAATTCTTCCTATTAGCACTTACAGATTGTGAGGGCATATAACCAATAAGACGTTCAATATGTAAATATAGGAAAGAAAATATAGTAAAGGAAATCCAGAAACGTAAGGTGTATAAGTAACATCAATAAGTACTACAAAGACGTAAATAGAGGAAAGCCTCAAAAATTAAAATTAATGCAATTTATATGAAATTTTAAAAAACAAAAACAATTGGTCATTCCATGGCGGAACGAAGCTGCTTATGGGGAGCACAAAATATGTGCGTATTAGTAACGACAATACATATCCGCACCCATGAGCCACCAAGTCAAAGAATATAAACTAGGAAGGTCAAAACTGATTCTAAAACAAAATAAATAGATTTTTTGGGATAAAATGTATAATCTTTAATAGATACTTGTACAAGAATGCGTCATTGTTTAATACGTTTTTTTTTAATATTACTTAGTAATTCAAACAATAATATATATTATTTGCAATGAGATTTTATATCAAAAATATACAATAAAAAATAATATTTAGTACATGTATTATGTCTAAAACAAATTTTTATTTATAATAAAAATCAAAAAAAATTAATATTATACTGTTATGGGACATGAAACGAGTACTTTGTTAAACACATTATTGTCAACACTACTAACTGATTTAGAAACGTTCACATATTTTTATACACAGCTAAAGTTTAATTTCATTTCATATTCGTATATAATTTTGCATTATTTTTAGCAAATTTTTTCATTTTTATTTATTTATTCTTTAAAAAAAATAATTACACATTTTTTTAAGTTCATATTAAAGAAGTTGAAGAAGAAAAGAAAAAAATGAGCAAAGATGAGAAAGCATACTAATTTGATTTCCAAAATCGATTTATATATGGGGTTTTATAAAAAAACTGCTATTACAACTATTGTTATTGTTATAATTATTATTATTCTTATAATTTTCCTTAGCCTGCAACAACCAAAGTTTAAGATCATCATCTCAGATAAAAAGCAAACAAACATTATTTTTGTCCTTGTCTAGCAACAGAGCAACAAAACAAAAAAAAAAAAAAAAAACATGAGAACAGTTTATTTCGTTTTTTAATTAAGTATTTATTTTTTTCGATTTATCCAGAAAATTTCCTTTAACATTTAGTTTTAGTTAAATTTTCAATTTGTTTTCGTTCCCATTTTTTTTTAATAAAAAAATTACCTTAAAATAATTACAAAAGAAACATCAACA